TTTTTATATTGAAAGCTTCAAATATTTTACAACCCTTCTCCCCAACGATCTAAACACATGCCTTTAAAACCAGCAATTAATAGCATATCACTGGCTATGTGAGAAAAAGGACATGCAGAGTCAGCAGTATATTATCCCAGCAAACAAGGTTCTCTAGAAACCCATTTCTGCCATCTAGGGCGATTGGATAGCTACCGACAGTCACACATCAAAATACTCGAGGCCAAGTTTACACACACGAGAAAGACATACACTAGTTACTCCAGCTGGTAGCATCATTATATTTTATTTATTTTTTAAAAAAATTAAGTCACAACTTTCTCTTAATGAAAAGTAAACTGGAATTTGTGCCTGAATTCTTACTCTAAACATACCAACGTAAGCACAGTGAAAGTCAACCTCAGACTGGAAACAACTGTAAACTAAGGTTTATTATTGCCATACCACAAAAACTGAGTTAAAATAGAAAAATAAAAATAACAGGCAACAAGCATCATATTCTTCCTTCAAAGGTTGTGAACAAAAGCCCGACATCCATTACATTTTCTTCAGTTGGTTATAAAGAACATGAACTAAAAGATTTCATCTAAGCAAGTGCAGAAACAGAGCTAGAGGGATGAGACAGCCTTGAATTTCTCTTACAGACTTCTCATTCCTTTTCAGTAAAAGAGAAGTGAGAAACATTGACCAGATGAATGCATAACTGGCCTTCTCTGATAAAATGTATTGTGGCAATTTTTCTATATTAAAAGTGATAAACATCAGCAGGGAAATACCTGAAACAATTAAAAGGCACTTTTAGACAACACATGTTTTGCTATATGCTACAGAAAACTGAGTCAGATTCGATATTATACTGAATCTTATAGTGGTCCAAGCAGTATAATGGTATATACTGTTAAATACACACACTTGACCGCATAAATAGTCAATCTGCAATGCCAGCACAGTTAACACAGGAAGAAATCCACATTCTTTTTTGATGTAAACACTAAGGTTTCTAGTAAAGACATTTTCATTTTAGACATTATTATAAGTTTAACATTTTTGCATTCAACGCTGTCTAGAAGTTTTATGGCACCTCTGTATATCCTTAGGCAAGAAACAGTCATGATAAGGCATTTGGAGAGAAATTCTCAAGTCGTCAGGTCTAGCGCTGCATGCAAAATTGCAAACACCCTCAGTAACTGCGCACCTGGACAAGCCAGATGTTTGTATATAAAAGGCAATTTTATTCATATACCCGTAGTCCTCTGCATGAGGATCTGACCCTCAAGTTTTAAAAGGCACAGAAACTGAGGGGCATGCTAACTACAGTACTTAAAAATGAGACCTACTATTTACCTGATTTCAAGATGTGGCTTTCAAAGGCAGCTAGATGACTGAAGTATAAGTCCCACTAGAAATCAAGAGCCATCCCCACCATGATTTCAACATGGTTGTTAAATTCAGATTGATTAAAAAAAAGAATATGTAGGCTTTCCTTATGGTTTCACTCTCATGCTTTGCATTTCAGAGAAACCACCTGCTGGAAATAATCTGTTTTCTTTACTTGGTTTTTTGATCCTTATTAAATAACCAAGCATCTCTAGCATGTGAAATGAAATGCATTACTAAACAGCTGGATAAACACATCATTATTTCTTCACTGAATCCTTACTCCTTACTTGAGTAAGGTATTAGTAAAGTGTGAATGCTACAGGCATCTGAACAGAAGCGCAAATTGTTTTAGACTTTTGAAACCGTTTTTGTAAAAAAGCAAAGAAAATACAGTCTTTGGTGTAGGCTCACACAGTGCTATCCAAGTATTATAACATCAGTTGGAAATTAGAGAAAACCCATAACTTTACTTCCAAACTAGAAGAGCCCAAGCTCAAGCGTTCACGCTGATTTACACACACAGAGCTCTTCCAGGTGGCATACATGGTCTTTCACTACACTTACATAGCCACCAGTATGCTAAATACGATGAACTTTCCAGCAGCAAGTGGTGGAACTGACAGTGTCCCCTCCTTTGCCCAGTGTCCCCTCCTTTGCCCAGACATTAGCAGATTGCTTAGACATCTGTGCAACCTGGGGGTGCCTTCAGAAGGTGATGTAGCCTACGCCTTCAAGGAGTCACCAACCAACACTCAGAAACAAATGACTTGTGAGAGGGGAGGGCATTCTGGACAAAACACTCTCCCCACTCTATTTAAGCTGGCAGTTAGGAATTCGTTTTCCTGACGTCTTTATAATAAAAAGCAGGAGCGTACCTTTGCCACCTGTTTCACAACCAGAAGTGCATGCAGTCCTGGAGTGTCTCGACTGTTTTTGAGTTTGCTAGATGTCCACTCTAAAAACTGAAAGCTATCAACAGCTGAAGTTTAAAAAAAACAAAACATACCAAAAACACATACAAAACAAGACAATATCAAAACATATTTAAAAATAACACTCCTCTTCAGTTTTTTTCCCCTAGGCCCTTGTCCTTATAGGTCCCCTGTATTTCCACAGGAAACTGCTATACCCGGCATAAAATTACTCCACTAAACCATCCTGTTCCTTATTTTCCAGCAAGGACATGCTCGTATCTCCATTACTCTTTTCATTTGTATCTCCATTGTCCTCCAATTGCCCTGACTTCTGATGAGCAAATGTGTAAGTGTCATGGTCTGTGTCTGTCAGAGGTGGAGGTTCCTCAGTGTTAGGAGAGTGTTTAATCTCTTTTCTGAAGGAGAACGGAGGTGGAGAAGGCGGCAAGCTACCAACAGGTCCATCGAAAGGCCTGTACACGTCAACTTCTGGAGCGACTGAGCCATTGGATTCCTTCAGCAAGTGCCCATAGACCATAGCATCATCAATAACTGCATAGACATGAGACTCATTGTTTTTCCTCCCTTTTGTGAATAAGCCTTGTTTTCCAGGCATCGAGGTATTCACATTAGCATTGTACACTCCCACCATGGGATTCTGGCTTTTCTTCTTCCTGTCGCAGAGTTGAAATTGTTAACAGGTCAGAAACAACACATGGCTGGTGGGTTTGAACTCAATAATGGCAGCTTCTGTTTACCCATCCCAGCTACCCAGGGTCAGGCAGCCTACCTGGATTGAAGGCTTTACTTGCAATCTTAGGAAAAATAACTCTTGAGTCTAGACATGTTTTTTTGGCAGAGCAGAAAATAACTTCACACTATTTGGTTACCTACTGCTGTTCTGCTGACCCTGAAGTTTGCAAGATTAACTCCAACGGCCTCTCAAGTACGGGGGTCCCAGCTGTGCAGCGTACTGAGTCTCCCAACATCCACAGACACTAATAGGACCTACAGGCTATCAGATCCTCACAAAACAAGGCTGAGCATTGCTGAAGACCAGTAAGATAGTGGGTCTTCTACGAAAGTTGAATGAACTTTTCTTGATTGCACTTTCTGGAGTGACTGTCCCTGAGGTAGGAAGACCAAAGGCTGAACTGAAGTTTTTAAGCCTGTATTTGTAAAGTCTTTCCCGTGTGGCAGAGAAGTGTGCTCATATCCACTCTAGTCATCATATTGCACAGGTTCATTCCAGCTCTACAGCTTTGGGCCCAATCACCCTGCCAGCACTGAGCATACATGTATCAGAAACCCCAAGCTATTGATGACTTCAGACTCTGCTCGCATGAGTAAGGCTATGCATGTTTGCTTTGCACAACCTAGTTCTCTCCCCAAGGGCTCATCTCATAGAAAAATACTCCCACTTGATGTGCAAACTCCTCAAGAAGTTGCTGGAGGTTGTGTAGATGAAAGATAGCTCTTAGTATATCTGAGTGAGTTTACAGCTTGTCTGAACAAAGCCCTGTCTAGAGAGACAGGCAGAGCAGCCACATTCATTGCTACTTCATTTCAGAGGAATTGCTGATCAAGTTCAACCGATACCTTACTTCCAGTACAGCCAAAAGCCTGTGCTGAGGCCAAGGTAGGCGACGCACTGGGGGCGGAAGTAATGCGACTCAAGGAACGGTGCTCTACTCTTAAAGTGAATCAGTTTAGAGTAAGGCAGCATTCTTGGAGGCACCCTACTTTGACCGCTAGCATGTTGCCTACCTCATGCTTCAGACCCTTGTTCA